CAGTTCAGCACGGCTCACTTTTCTGGAGTGACCCCCAATGGATGATTTGGAGCATTGAAGGAAAGCACATTTTGTTACCCTGTGCAGAGCCACTCATGGCATCTTTAAAAATCCCACATTATCACCACTAGAACAAAAAGAAAGCTAAGTATCCCATTGAATACCCTATCAAACTGAGGATCACTCTTCCCAAGGACCATTTTCTCTAATATTTTTCAGATTTCTCTAGTTTTATTATAGGAGACAGACATTTTGATGTTGCAACGGAGTGCAATATGGAGAACGGAGCACTAAGGAAGGCAGCTGAATATTCATAAAGTTATCCATGATAACATTATCATAATAGAAACATGTCAGACACAACTTATGTGTTGGATGACTGGCTGAATAAACTGTGAGTCATTAACACACTTTTGTACTTTTCAGTTAGACAAATATGATTGATTTCTATCAAGTGATACAGTGTAATTTACAAAATGTTATTAAGTGAAAAAAATCAGAGTTCAAAAACTGTATACAGTAATCATCCTGCTTTTTGTGCAGAAAAGAGAAAGCATTGAAGAGATTTTACATATAACTATATAGCTGGATATGTTTTACATACACAAATAAATACATGAAGGATGTGCCAGAGTCAAAAGAAAATGTGGAAAGGTAAAAGATAGCTTAGATAGAAATGAAATTAAGAATTTTTTCTAAATAATTATGTATGTTGCCTTTACTTTAGAATCATATATGTTTTATATATTGTAAGGCCAAAATTAAAGTGAAAAACATTTAAGAATTAAAATCTCATGTGTTTTCTTGAATAAAGAAATATCATTTTTTATCAAATTAACAACATAGCCAATTAAGAAAAATTATCCGTTATTTTAGCAACTTTGATGAGAAAATATCATAGCTCTCCATCCTTTATTGGGATACATTTTGAGAACAAAATAATTTTATGAGAAACCTTGACATTCTTTGGTAGGCTTATTGTTGGTGTTGGAAATGTATACTGTTTCTGAGAACATTGTTCATGATTCATGGACTAGAATGAATGGAGGTATATATTAGTAATACTGGAAAGCCCTTCCTCCCTGAGGGATAGAGGAAGACAAAATATGGAATCAGTGAAGATGAGAAAGAACTCTGTGCTTTTGCTTTGAGATTAGATAATTAGCAGAAGACTACTAACAAATATAAATAAAACAACAGTCTGTCCATTGAAAAGCATAATAGATATCTATTAATAGATAAGATATCTTATTATAATAGATAAGATATATTATTATAGATATAAGATTTCTATAATAATATATCTTATTATCTATTAACTCACTTTACCTTCAAACATACTTTCTTAATATTATATCATTAAAATAACTCTTATCAAAAGAAGTAGATCTACCTTTAAATAAAAAAGAATGGTTCAGATTTGGGATAAGAAAATTCTAATATTATGAGCTTGGAATATCTTATTTGTCAGAAAGAATATCACCAAGGAATGATGTAGGCATGTCTATAGTGCACACAGGAACTATGTATTAGAACCAATAGGACAGAATAACTGACTTTAAGGGCCAAAGACCAAAGCTTGAACAACATAACCATCAAAAAGAAAAATGGATAATGTCCAACATAATCAAAAATACACAAGGAATAGTAGACATCTTTAAAATCAGATTGTGTAACCCACATTGTAATGGCTGATGAAGGCAAGGACTAGCAAATCCTAAACCACTAGCTGTTCCAAAAAAGGGAAATGATCACTAGTACAGGAGGCTGTTAAGAAAGTCAAGAACTAAAAATATCTATTTCTTTATTCCATAGGGAGCACCTCTTACATTAGCAAGATCCCTTCAGTAGAATATAAGGTGAAAAAATGAAATGACCTCCATGCATTCCTTCACTTGGTGATACCTTGACTCTCTTGGTGTTGCTAAGAAATTCACTGAAGTTTTTAATTTCTTACACAGTTATTCCTCTTTCTGCAGCTTTGTTTCATGGGGCCCATCTGTCTCCCAACACCATGGTACTCTAGTTAACCTAGTATCCTCCTCTCAGAAGGATATATACAATCCCTGGATCATGGTGATTTGATAGTACTGGTGATACTCTTCGATTGATCGATCGATAGATAGATAGATAGATAGATAGATAGATGGACACATATAGATATTTCAGACATGAAGTTCTTTAATTTTTTTTTCTTAAAGTTTCTCTGGGCATTCTAATTAGTCTCTCTCTTCATGAAATTATGTGCTAAACTTTCAATATTTCCCATATTTCACAGATAAATTTGGATTGATTAATCTCTTATCAATCTCCAATCAAGTTCTTGTCATTCTAAAAGGTCAGCCCCAAAACCCATATAGAAAATCATAAAGATTCCTGAGCATCTCAAGTCTATAAATCTCTCCACAAAGCCCATTTGGTTAACCTGCGAACACAGGAGTCACCTCCCCCCAAATGACGCACCTCAAGCATTTTATTCTAAAGTTCAATGTTCTGACCTTTGCTCTCTAGTCCCCAGTCCTTTCGTTGCCTTACTTTCCTCCCTTCCTCCATCACCATGACTTGGAATTCCTTCCTCTGTCCTCCAGCCTATTGCGCCTGTGGTGTACATCTTTACCGCATTTTTATGGTTCTACCTAAAAATCATCATATCTGGATGAATGAGTGGAATTGGAAAACTTAATGGCCTAATTATGCCATTGTAATCCCTAATACATTTCCACTTTTTTCTTCTTTCTACCTTTCTGCTTTGACAGTTTAGAGAGAACATTTAGTCTAGTTCCAGTCTCAGAGGGAAGGCCTCTCATATTTCATCATTAAGAATGGTGCCAGAGGAGGCTTTTAGAAGTTACCCTTTATTGTGTTAAAGAAGAGCCCTTTTATTTCTGGGATTCTAGGAGATTTTTATCATGAATGGCTTTTCTATTTCATGATTTTCTTTATGTATTGAAGGTGATTCTCTCCTTCATTCTGTTAGCCTAGAGAATGGCAACAATTGATTTTTCAAGTATTACAAAAACTTCACATTTCCAGAATGAGTTCAACATGGTTATGATTTGTTTTCTTTTTCTATAGTTAGCCAAGTGTTTGCAACTTTTTAAAAGATTTTGCATCTATCTGCATGCAAGAGACAGCTTCCCTCTCTTATAATAGCCTTGACAGACTTTTCTAACAAAGCTTGTTGCTTTCATACAACAAGTTGGAAATGTGGTTTTTTTCCTCTCTATTCTCTGAAAATGTACTTCAGGTTGGTGTATTCTTTCTTTAAGTATTTGCTAGAATTTTCTAACAAAGTTATTTGGGCCTTAAGTTTTTGTGAGAAGCTCTGAAATTATATTTACTTGTTATTTATAGCAGATATAGAATTATTTGATAGTCTATTTTTTTCATGAGAAACAGTTTGGCAAGCTATAGTTTTTCTAGGAACTTGTCCATTTTATTTACATTTTAAAATTAATAGGAAAAGTAATATCTTCTTACTTTGTTTTAATATCTACCGGATCTGTATTTTCCTTTAGCAGTTTCACTATTACTTATTAATTTCTGTAATCTTTCCAAAGAACCATCTTCTGGCTTTTATTGATTTATTTTATTTTATTAATTATTAATTTCTACTCAAATGTATTTTTTTTGTTTTTAACTTGATTTTATATTGGATGTTTACACTCTAACTTTTTGAGGTGAATACTTAGTGTATTGATTGTTGATTTTTCTTTTCTAAAGTATTTTTTAGAGACTAAAATTATTAAATTTCAACTTGGGTCACATCTCATAATTTTTATGTGTTCTATTTTTGGTATTATTTGGTTGGAAAGATTTTCTAATCTTTTTAGCATCTTCTTCAATTGGGTTATTTACAGGTGTATGTCTTGTTTTTTGTTTTTTTGCTCTTGTTTTGCTTTGTTTTTATAGCTGGGTATCAAGTCCATGATCCCACACCTGCTAGGCAAGTGCTCCACAGTTGAGTTAGATCCTCAATCCCCTTGAAGTATATATCTTAATAGGCAAACTTATGAAGTTGTTTGGTTTGTTTGGTTGGTTGGTTTTGCATTTTAGTTAATTTTGTTCAGTGAAAATAATCTATGTGCTTGAAAACTTTTGCAATTTTGAGGGGTTTTTAAATAAGCTACTATATGATTAATTTTTGTAATGTTCTTTTACCTTGATAATTGTGTGTTTTGCCATTTGGGGAATACTATTTTGTATATGTCAATCGGACAAAATTATTAATCTTGATTTTCTGAATCTCCTTTTTTCCTACTTATTCTATCAGTGACTTAAAGAGATGTGTTCAAATATGCTGCTACAATTGCAGTTTCATTTATTCCATGAGGAATTTTTATATATTTTCAGGCTACTTTTGTGACATACAGTCTAATTGAAAGAAAATATAAAGGAGGTCATTGTTTTGAACTAAGCTGCTGAACTAGGTCCCAACAGCTGAGACCAGAATAGAGTTACTTGTGCTAAATGCCACATAGTCAAATGAAATTTAGAAATGAGCCACTTCTAAAAATAGGAAAGAGAAAAAACAATGAGATTCAAAGCAGCCAATCAAAAGGGACCCATTCAACCTGAAAGGATGTGATAAGCAAGCCCTATCTCCTTTTACCCATATAAGGAACATTAGCTTTGAAATGACCACTTTTTTTTTGTTTATTTCTGGGCCTTAAGTCTTTTGTAATGGTGATCCTAATCCCATCTGCTTAGCAGAGCATCTTTCTTTTTCATAAATGGGATGAAGGCTAGCCCATGAGTTGTTAGTCCATTGGATTCTTTAAACACAATTGGATAAAATTGTGTTCTTGAGAGTCTAGAGTCATTTTATTTGCCAGGTGAATTAGACTGTCTATCATCAGAAAGTGTTTTTATTTATTTATTTACTCATTCATTCATTCATTCATTCATTTATTTTTCTTTTTACTGTATATTCTTTACTAGCCCTTCTAAATTCACTTTCTCTGCACTCAAAATATTGATGCAGTGAATTCTATCATCAGGTGTTCAGTTGGGTCTGGCTACCGAGACCCATGGACAAGACGAAGAAGGTTGGAAGGACAGAGAGAATTCATTGCTTTCCTGCTCTTTTCTTCTGGACCACAGGGTAAAGTCTTCTATACGACTTCACAGCTTTTGTTAAGCTGTTCTTTTTATGTACCTGCTGCCATAACTCTGATCAAGTTCTAATGGCCATGATCTCCTTTTGTTCCTTCTTTGCCTTCCTCTTTTTCCAGTTTCTTTGGCTTAAGGGTTTACCTGCATTTGTATACCACTTTATGAAAGCAGAAGTCCTCACCCACTTGTCATGGTCTCAGAGGGACTTGGATGTATGGTGGCACCAATGTACAGCTAGTCTCCAGTCTGATCTTAACTTATAGACCGAATGCTTCCTTGTCCCTGGAAAACTCACTGCCAATGCACTACAAATATTTACAACATGAGGTGTTCTACACTAAATGGTCTAAGTCTCACTCAAGTCAGTTCTTTGTATCTAATTTCTCTAATTTCCTACCCAGCTGAATGACTTTTTTGTTTTTGGTACTGGGTATTGAAGGCAGAGGCCTGTAACCACTGAGCCATATCACCAGCTTTTTAAAAAATATATATTTTATTTTATTTAAAGACAGGGTCTCCCTAAATTGTTTAGGGCCTTGCTTTGAACTTGTGATCCTCCTGCTTCAGCCCACCAAGTCACTGGGATTTTAGGAATATACCACCATGCCCAGCTTGAATGACCTTTAATAAACAGAAAATTCCAAGTCAATGGGTATGAATTAAGGCAAAAAAAAAATGGGAAAACTTAGCTGTGCTTCCCAGAGATTCCCACTCCTACAATTAGAGGAAAGCTCAAAGATGTTATGGGTCTTTGTTGTCCCCATTTTCACTTATGCTATATATTTTTGGAGACCTAGCTTTATGCAGTCTTCTATTGAATTCATAACCTTGAGAAAGCCTTGAACTTTATCTTTCTTCTTCATTTAGATGTTAAAAAGAGAAGCTGAAAGAAGTCAGTACTGGGAAATTTCTGTAGCTTCCAAGGGTTCTTACAAAATTTTCATTTTCAATTTATGCTGCTTTTTTCTTCTCTCTCTACCATCTTTCTTTCCATCCTTTCTTATTCATTCTTTTTAGATATATATGGCAGTAGAGTATAATTTGGCATATTATATATACATAGAGTATAAATTACTCTAATTAGGATTCAATTCTTGTGGTTGTACATGATGTGGAACTCCACTGGTTATGTCCTCATATATGAACTTAGGAATGTTATGTCTGATTCATTTCACTGTCTTCCTACTCCCATCCTCTCTCCCTTCCCTTTATTTCCATTTATCTAATCCACTGAACTTCTATTCTTTATGAAGTATCTTTTTTTTGCTTTAACAATTTTACTTATTCTCACATTTTATTTTTAATTGACATTGAGTTGTATGAATATATGATGAACAATGTGAGGTTTTGATACGTGTGTTCACTGTGAAATGACTGAATCAGACTCACATATCCATTACCTCAAATATTTATAATTTTTATGGTAGATAAATTTAAGAATATTTTTTAGCCTTTTGGAAATATACAATATTTTTAATTATTGTCACCTTATTGTGTAATATAAAGCAGATCTTATTCCTCTTATCTAACTGTAACTTTATATCCCTTAATCAATATCAGCCCTTTCCCTGATGCTCCCTGTATCCCAACCTCTGGCATCACTGTTCTTCTCTACAACTATGGACCAACTAGTTAACTAGTTCAACTTCCTTTTCTTTGTTTCAGTGTTGCAGTTGAACCCAGGGCTTTATTCATGTTGGACAACCCTCCACCACTGAGTCACATCCCCAACCCACCCACAACCTATCACCTTTTTTAGATTCCATATATAAAATCTTTTACGATTTTAATCAGAATCCTTATTTGTTTCCCATGGGACACTTTTGTAGTATTATGCCTTCATTAAATTGATTTAATGAATCTGCTCTGATGAACCTGGACCATTGTTTACCCTGACCTCACTTTCCCACATGAAAAACTTAACAAGGTGATAGTATAACTTAGAAATACAGCTTGAGATCCAACGAGTCTCGGTGTATTTTATAGTAAACTAAATAATTTTAATTTTGCTGATTTCCCTGATCAATATTCTGTATACAAAAAAATATATACAGATCATTTGATCCAGGTGTTGCAATGGTGTATGTGTGAAACGCATTCTCCTCCATTAACTGTGGGAAGCTGTCAATGACAGGTGACTGACCTGTGAGGACCCATACTTTAAGTGCTTCCCTAGCTGTATGTAACTTCTCATCATGGATTTGTAAGAAACATGTATGTTTGTTACTTTGTAAAAAACATGTATGTTTGTTACTTTTAACGTTTTCTCCCAACAGCTGAACCTAAAAGGACCCAAATAGGATACTTTTGCACTAAAAGGAAGTTCTTTATCACTGAGAGAGTCTCCTCTCACTAATAATCCATTCATTGAATAAGAGGTAATTGCTATTTGCTAAACACTGTGATTATGGAGTTTGTTATATAGGCAGTAGTCTAAATGATTGTGTCCCATACTCCAAATTCATCTTAACTCCCAAGTTGATGGTGTTAAGTCAAAATCTTAACTTCCAAGGTGATGGTGTTAACAGATGGGAATTTTGAGAGGTGATTCAGTTGGGGCAGGGACAGGGGAAGAATCCTCACAAATGGAATTAATGCTTTTAAAAAGGATGCCCCTTCCACCATGTGAGTACATAGCAAAAGAAAGCTAGTAAAAGAAGAACTAGTAAATGAACCTTTACAAGACACTGAACTGAATTTGCCAGTGCTTTTACCTTGGATTTGCCAGCCTCCAGAGCTATGGGTATTAATTTTTTGTTATTGGTTAACCATTTAGTTTATGATATGTATATAGCATCCCAGAAATACTAAGACACAAAGGGAGTGGTTGGAATTCCCATGTATTGAATTGTACAATTTATTGGCCACTTTCTAGGAAGTTTTATATACTCTTTGTTCTTGTCTTAGTATGGGGAGTTAGCAAATTTTTTATCTAACTTGTAAACAAGGAAACCAATACTGAAACATTTTTTTGATCTTGTTTAAAGTTAAAGCAAAACACTTAAGTGCCTATCAATATTAGATAACCAAAATATTTCCCTTCTTCTCATAGAAGAATTGCTTTTCCTTATTTGTTGGTTTCTTTTATGACCCATCTTGTTCAATGCATTCCTCTGTTACCCTAGTTTCAGTGACACCATAGGAGATACAATAAAATCAGAGTTGTCTACTGGAATTGATATGTAGATACTGAGACAGGAGGATTCATTCTACTGGTGTTGCTTATTTGGAACATGTTATCAAGTATCTTGTCTAAAGATACTTGATATCTTGGCAAAACAGACCTCTTCAACATAAAGCCTAGGATGGATAAAAGTTAAAGAGGATCAAAACAAAGAGTCATGGCCATGTTGAATTATGGTTCCAGCATTTGAGACCTGGTTACCTATAATTCTATCTTGATTCCTGTGGGCTTTCCCAGTATTCCTCATAGGAATTTGAGCCACGAAAATGCCTGTTGTCCTTTAACTTATTTGCATGGACCTTCTGTCACTTTCAGCACAAACTGTCTAATTAACATATCCTTAAAACTTTTAAGGAGAAGAGACATACATTGGGTTTAATTCATACCCCAAACTTCTAACTATATCTTTCTACCTCTATTTTTAGTTGTCTTATTTTAATTTTTATGTACATGTATGGATATATAAATTATTGTTCATCGTTTTTGACAAGATAATTCCTATCTTTCCCTCTGTGTCTGTTTCTTCATCTTGCTGATAATTTGTGAATTAAGAATTGACAGCTGTGATGTCCCACTACTTCTTATCTCCCTCACGTGACTTTAGGAAGCAAGATTCTAAACAGAAAATTCAAAACTACATGAATGTCCTTTCCAATTACAGTTCAATTTTTAAGTTAAAAAAAATCTCTTTTTAGCAATTCCAATTGATCAGATTGTCAAAGCCTATAAAAAATTCACTTAAAACTAAATTTTAAATATTTATACATACATGTGAATAAATGAGCAAAACTCTTGAGGTGGAAAAAAAAGCATCAGAAGAGGCGATTACATCAGATAATATATATCTTTTATGAAAAGATTATGATGAGGCAGACGTCACTCACGTCTTAAACACAAATGCAACAGATATTCATGCAGGACCAGAATGAATTTCCATAGCTTTTCCAGAAGAGGAAACTATATTTTACCTTAAGTCACTCTGTTCAAATGAAGTCAGCTATATATTTTTTTTTCAATTTACTGGGCACATAGCAGGTATTAGATAAGAAGAGAAATGCTCATGAACCCATATGACAGTAGACACAGAATGTTAATGCAGACAAAACTTGCCCCATTGTTACTGTGACTGGCTATGCTACAAAAGAACTATATTTACATTTACAACTTCATCCAGAGGGAGAATCTATCCTCAGTTCAAACCCAGTAAGGAAATTACTCTTTCCTCTTAATAGTAAAGAGTGTGTCATCCATACAATTTTAGGAAACAGAAACTGTCAAGAGAAACAGAAAACTTATATTAGAAAGGCAAAAAAAAAAAAAGCCAGAAGGCCATAAAAATAAAGCAAAGTCCAAACATGTAATTTATGGCAAACATTTTATATATCATGTTGGAAAGAAGAAAAAGGTTAGTTTAAATGTTATGCCAAAGAAGTTCCATTTGAAGTGCAAACTGATCCAACAATTAAGAAAAAAGGGGAGAATTTTCCTTGTGCATCAAGTACGCACAGGATGTGAGTATAATTTATTCAAAAAAGATGGAAATCCAAATACAGGAGGCATGTAGACCCCCAAAAAAGGCATAATCAAAATACATTCTCTACAAGACATATAATGAAAATGCCTAATACACATGATAATGACAGAATTGTAAAAGCTGCAAGTGTACAATGGCAGTTTGTACTTAGAAGTAAGCCAACTCAGATTTCACCTAATTTCTCAACTCTGACCCTTAAAGCAAGTAGAGCTTGGAAAAATATATACCCAATCCTGAAGGGAAAAAAAGGTGACAACCAAGATTATTATTT